GTTTAGGTGTTAGATATGTAAATTCATAAGAATTGCAAATCATAACATGCTCAACAATTGTCAAGAAAACTGCATTAGAAGAATGAAAATATATTAAAAAAAATTTGCATTATACTAGAGAAATAAATGCAACGCCAACATACTGAAGCTGAACCAGTTCAGCTCAACGTAAATTTGCAGAGCAGTTCTAAATCACACTATGCTTTTCACAATCGATTTCTTCGACCGTTGGATTTCTTGTCACTGGAAAAGAACCTTGGAATATTTAACAGAGAGTTAACCCTAGTTACACCTTCTAGAGCAGACCATTCCTCTTCTTCTGTGGAGGATATACAGTCAGCAAGTCTTCTTGTGGATTGGCCATGGTCTGGAGCATTACATAATTTAGGGTTTTCTGATATAGGAATGATCTCATTGGGACTGTGAAGTGTATTTGGTTGCTCCAGCGACGCCGCGGATTGATCAACAGAGCCTCGTCTTTCTTCGTTATCTGCTGCTTCAATGGCTTGGCTGGATGAGGGCGGCAGAGGGCTTAAAAATAAACAAACGGCGGCACAATCGTCGATTTTGGAAGTAGGGAACTTTAATCTCCAAGCCCTAATTGCAGAATCGACAACAGCTCTGGCTGCGGTGACACGAGATGGCGCCGAAGCAACAATGTCTACAACTTCTTTATTTGAAAGAGCATCCCAGATCTGGGTGGGAAATATTAACAAAGATGGGGAATTTGATTATATATCACTTCTTATGAATTCACAAATCTAAAATTTAAATCTTTAAATATAAAGAAGCAATTGTTAGATATGTAAAAAGAAAGAATGCATGAGGATGTAAAAGATACCCACACCATCAGTTGCAAGAACGATGAATTCATCTTTGTCAGTGAGAAGACGGTATGAGATATCTGGAACTGAAATTAAACCATAATCCTTGAGGCAGAAGTCTCCAAAAGCTCTGGCCATGGCTAAGCCTGGTGAATTGCTGTTTGGCAACCAAACCCGGGCAACTTCTGGTTCATCTTGTAAGGCAAAAACCCTCCCTTTGCATTGTTCAATTCTAGCAGCTTCCCCTAAGCAAAGCAGTGGGGGAAAAATTTTGAAAAAAATATTAATTTTAACTGGGAGATTAATTTACTGTAAAGCTCTGTTTTAACGGATGAAAGAAAATGGTAGAAAAAGCTTAACTGGGAGATTAATTTACTGTAAAGCTCTGTTTGAACAGATGAAAGAAAATGGTAGAAAAAGCAAAAAAAAAATTAGGCAAATTTACTGCTAATCATTTATCCGCAAACCTTCATGTAAAATCTCGAACTGGCGAGCTCCTTGTTCATTTCAACTCATTCATAATGTAAACCACAAAGTTAAATATAATTTGCGAAATGCATAATGGTGACATGCATTTCAAATTTCAGTTTTCAATTTTGCTTGGCTAAGAGAACAACTAAAACTCAACATTTACTCTTCCACATGGCATGAAATGCAAATTAAAAAAGAATTAGGCGATGTGTCATGAAAGCCATTTATTAAAACCGCTTTAGTTAACCATAATGGGACCTTTTGAAATGACAAGAAACGCAAACTCTGAATGGTTCAATAAAAATTATATTGCTTTCTTTTTTAACATAGATAAGGGACCTTTTGAAATTGCAAAAACATTCTATTTTAGTTCTGAATAAAGTTTTGATTTGATGTGATATTCTACTTACAGTGGTTTGAACCTTAATAAAGTGGACTAGAAGACTTCTAGGAGAGATTATTATCTATACAAGTACAAGTCTTCAATTTTTATTTTTTTT